TGTTTTCTCAAAGAGCCACAACAAAAGAAGGTATCTCAGTTAAAAGAAGTCTTTTAATAACCCAAGTCTGACTCAATATCCAAACCCAAGTCTCAGACTTGGGTACCCAATCCCAAACCCAAGTCTGGACTTGGGTTTGGGTTTGTAACATACCTAACTAGAATCTCTTTGGAAAAGAAGAGTCATAAAAGAAAGTCTTCTCACACATTTCTCTCAAGGAAAAGCGTTGAATGAAGTTAAGTACAAATTGACAGTCTTTGGCTAAAACAATGTTCTTCGAACAAAAGAAGAAGCTTCTTTTTATCTTTTCTGTTAAATTGTAGACTAATGTAGAAAATTCCTGTTTTTACGTTTACTACTGTATATATACTTCTTTCTTTCTTTTGACACTTTGTAATAATCTTTATTGTCTGATAATGGCAAGAGAACTTGTCGAAATATCACAATAAAATAAATTTGATGAAAGTATTAATCATGTTCTGTGCAGTTTTGTACTTTCTCTACAAACTGAAATTATGATTAGACGCCGAGTTTACTAGACCGGTAATTGAAACGCACATATTTTTCCTGACTTAGACGTGTTTTCATTTCTATTTTTATCGTTTTGGAGCTTGTTAAGCCTTTTTTTTGTTTCGTATTCGAAGAAAATGGTCAAAAACGTATCAGTTTCAAAACGTTGTTTCAAAAGACTAGAAACTGTGATAATGCGCCTTCCAAGAATCAGCGATAAAGGTTTATGTAAATAGTTTTGTTGTCTAGAGAATCTACGATATATCTGAAGTGGTTTTATATTATTTGGAAACGCGCCTCAGGAATTTTTGATCTCGCAGCTCTAAATAAGTCCAGTTAAACAGTTTATTTTCGACAGGTGACCTCCCAAAAATTTGATCTTGTTAATCGGTCTTTTCGAACCTGTTTAATCTAAATGTAGACAAGACTCGATAAGGTTCTCCAAGCCTTATCTTCTGCAGCCAAGAGTGAAAGAACTCAGAATTTATTACATAGAAAAAGATAGAGAAAAACATTAGCTCGGAAAAAATGTTAAGTTTGTATGATTATTCGTATCATTAAAATGATTCTCTTAACGCCACTCTCCCTGCCACTGGAACTGGTCGTCGTTCTTTCAAACCAACAGCTTGCCCAGTCGTACCTGTTGTTTTAACATGTGAAATCAGCGACGATGCAAAGCTAACAGCTGTAAGAAATCCAATAATCGAAGAAATCGCAACCAAAATAAAACTGTAGCCTAAACTAACTTTAATTCCAAGGTCATGTCCAAAATCTTCAGTAATGATTTTTGTAAATAGTAAATAACCAAGAAGAATTATAATTGAGCCGAGAACGAGGAAGAACAGAGGGACAATGGCGAAAAGACCACCAGATCGTAAGCTACCATGAATAAAGAGGATAATGGTCGCCAATGAAGTTCCAATAAAGAGACAGATTAAACCGGCAATGACAAGTCCTTGTGGTAATTTAAATTCTGGAACTGTTGTTCTCGTCGCTGCAATCTTTTTATCAAATAAACTATAGGTTGTCGGCTGAAGATTACTACTCAGCTGTCTTTCTACTTGAATAAGTGTTGCATTTGCAAGACCAATTACAACCTGTTTCGCTAGCGATGGCATTGATAGTAAGCTAACTATGTTACCAGAGGCATTTACAACAAACGTCCCATTTTCATCTAACAATTGATCAAATTTAGTCCGCAATTCGTTTGTATTTCCTTGAACACTAACCCAATTTCTTGTTGCAACACCAACAATTGCTAGAGTAACTGCAATCAGACCAACGATTGCAATAAGTAATGATAAAACTTTCTTCGACATTACTGACTGTGTATTCTGATATATCTTATACTCTGCTCTACTCACTTACTCTACTGTCGTTTTTAAAACAAATAGAGCTCGTGTAACTGAGTTGTTATCTCATTTTGTCTTCTATACGCGTGTGATAAATACAGAATGCATGCACATGGTTGCTTGTGTGAAGTCCTTGTGTAGTATCACCTTTTTAAAAGAAGAATCAGAAGCTATGTGGACTCTTAAATCACAGATTTTTCAGTCGAATTAGAGAAAGAAAAATATCAGTTTCTGAAATATATCTCTTTGTTCAAAACACTTTTCGATCATTCTTCCCGGCTTTGCTGCTAAAGAGTACATCTGATATGGAGTAAAACTATAGAGCTGCACGATTTTTCAAATTGGTAGATTTTTTTCGAGTTTTTTCGACTACAACAAAAATATTTCGGAGTAGATGCCTAATTCGAGTTCGAAAATAATTCAAAATTTCAAAAACATATATGCGAACGAAAGCACAAGTAAAAGAAAACGATTTATCGAATTCGAATTCGAATTATCATAATTCTAATTGACACGACTTTACTGTAGATTTAAGAAAATATAATAACTTTTTATTCGTAGGTTTTCGAGATATTGAATGAAGTTGTTGTTTGATGCTTGGCATATAGAGGGAAGACAGTGTAATGAGTTATATAAAAGTGATTGTGGAAGGGAGCACGATGAACTACTTGTTATTAAATTCAGATCGAAAAGAAGTTAACGTTGGTACATAATTCGATCATCATTTGATTAGGGTGAAAGCTGATCTAGGGTTTAGTATTTGATGAAGGTGAAGTGTGTTTTTGTTGTGAGTATTGTGTTTAGCTATATTTGTGTTAAGATAAAAGAATAGTATATGATGTAACTAAAGGATAGACTGGCTTAACGTTGAAGCAATATAATATTTTATTGGGTTTGCTGTAGTCGAAAATTCCAGTGGGTGAAGATAATTGATTTATAATCCTGAACCCCTGAAAAAAATTAATTTCTATTGAAATAGGTGTATATGCCTTAAATAGATTGTAGAATTATTCAAAAGTTATACGGAATCTAGAAGAAACTTTCAATAGAATTGGTGTTAGATTTTCTAATATACGTCTGATAAGTATTTCAATTAGTATTTCTATTCTAGTTCTTTATAAC